GCAATTCTCAAATATCTCTTCGCTGAACTTAGTAAAGTGACAAGTCGCTGGCATTTTCAGCTATGGTCAACACTGATCCAGCTTGGCTATCCGACGGTGCTTTGAGCATCACACACACTCCACTTCCGGAGTAATTTTTGGCACGGTATTAAGATACTGCTTACAAACCACACTGTGGCTCTGCCTGAATGCATCCCTGGATAAATCCCAGCTCATTGCACAGCAGCCTACGGCAGCTAGAGCATGACTTCTCCAATGGAGTCCCCCAATGAATACACTGTGAAAGGGTCACATCTTGCGCTACCGCTTCATCGGCCTGCCCGCATATCTCTCTCTCTCTCTCTCTCTCTCGCATATCAGGTATATGGAGTGAATGGCTGACTTGATATGCACCTATAAACCATACGGGCTCATTGAGCTCGATATATAAACACTCGCAAATGTAATCCTTACCTCCTCAACTACTCTAACTCGACCACAACTCTAAACCTGGTCTCCCGCTCTCCCTAAGCTAAACAGTTATTTCCTCACTTTGAATGCTGGATTGAATATCATTAGTGGTATTCACCAAAGTGAGCAAGTGGCCTGGCCGTCTGGTAAGAGGGCAGACCAGCTCAAGCAACGACTGTTGTCAATACCCCTCTTATTCTTTCGATCAGTTCACCTTTCGATGTTCCTAAGTTACAAAAATTATCAGGCAGTAAAATTCGCCTTAATCTCTCGTTGGCTGGCAGCTTTCCATTCCCAATGTCCAGTCTTTGTCGCGAGAATACCTCGGCTGCCGTGTATATATGTTCGTCTTGTCACAATGCTGACTATTTCAGGAAAGCATTTATCTATTGTTACTCAAGAAATTAAAGATAATGTGTGCATAAAATCCTCTGAGAGCAATATCAATGCATTCCCGAATGGCTGAACCTTTCCATGCAAATCCCACGACAATCGATCAAACCTCAAGCAGTTTTTTATGTGCCATCTTGCACTCATCCCATATAATTATTTTAAATTTTGTTCTGGATATATTGCAAGTGGGAGTTTCGAAGATTTATATCTTCACTGGCAGGTTAAGAGCTGAATTAGCAATGTTTCCACCTGGTAGCGATTCCAGGCGAAGCGATAGCTAAGGTTATGTAATTTTTTGAACGAACCGTTGGCATAATCACTCTGATAAGGAATGTTTTAGTAGTTCCTCCTGGCGCATCAAGAAGAAGGTCCCCTAACTCGGTCAATTATCATTTGCATATTCTTTCTCTTATTTGGCGCTGTAAATGCCTAAGCCATTTTGGCCGAGATCGACAAAGAACGCCAGTCTTTTCTCTCTGTACCAACTGACGACAATTGGAAATGCCACGTGAAGTCAAGTCCTTCTCCACTTGGTCTCTCCCTCTTCCTCTGCTACCACCAGTGGATTGCAAGTTGAATACTTTCAGAACTGGAACGTCGCTTTCCGTCTCATCGAATGTTGTCATTGTCTAAGCTTCTGCGCCATTTACCAGCTCGGACATGATGACTGACTTATAGAAAATGGTTTTTGTACGTCCAGCGAGAACTTTACTCCCGAATTTCCTATTCAGTCCAAAGTTCCAATTGTTGGCAAGAGTGATTCTGTGTGGGTTTTCCATGCTGATATTATAATCGGGGTTAATGCTGGCTCCCAAGTAAACGAAATTCTCTACTTTCTCGAAATTACAACTGGCAACAGGGATGTGGGTGTCAAGGCGGGAATGCTCTGACTCTTGTCTTCGTTGATCACCAAACTCAATCGCTTTGCTTCGAAGTTTTTGTTACCGATGATATCGATGTCATTGGCATACGCCAGAAATTACACGCCCTTGTAAAAAATTGTTTGGGCATATAACAGGAGTTCACAATAGTAATAGTAATCATAATCATAATAATATTATCTATTGTTATTCAAAATTTCTTTACTCGCAATATACTTAGTAGGCTTTGGCGACCGAACGAAATTGTTTATGATTAAAATTTAACTGTTTTATAATGTAAAGGAATGGTGACAACAATTTTAAGTTTTCATTATTTCATTTCATAGGATATTTTTATGTTTTCGTTACGCTTTTTATCATTTTTTCATTTATATCAGCAGCTTTTTATTAATTTTTTTCATTGCGTTATTTGTATACCAAATCTGCATTGATAATATGATCACGTCGTTTGATAAGATATTGTAAATTCTCTCTTTTTTTAAACTGTCTGGATTTGGATAAGAGAAAACATTAAAAAAAATTCTCTGATAAAGCTTTCCCAATCACTTTCCGTTTCGAATCAGTTATGTAATATTTCATTTAATTTCAATATTTTCAGTTTACTTTTACATATTGCATAATCCTATTTAGAATATTGGCCAATCAAGACTTCTCAAATACCATTCGTTTGGTACCCATATTGTAACATTTCATTGATTTCATCAATTTAATTGAGTTAAATTTCAAACAGATGGCAAACCTCCTCAAACCTATTTTCGACTGTAAGTCGTCTTAAAACTATTTAGTTTGATACCCACATTGCAATAATTCGTTTATTTAATCCACTTAACTGAGCTAAAATTTTCAAGCAGGTTGCAACCCCCCTCAAAAATATTTCCAGCAGTAATGTTTTTTAAACCTCTTTAATTTGATACTTGTATTGTAAAAAGTTATCTATTTTATCTATTAAATTTAGTTAAATATTCAAACAGGTAACAACCCTCCTCAAAAATATTTTAGGCCGTAAGCCTTCTTAAAACTCTAAAGTTTAATACCCTCCTACAAAATATTTCCAGCAGTTATCTTTCTTAAACCTCTTTTATTTAATATCTATATTGTAATATATCATTCTTTTATCAATTAAATTGCGCTAAATTTTTTAACAGATGGCAACCCTCCTTCAAAATATTTTCACCTGTGAGCCTTCTTTAAACTCTTTAGTTTGATACCCACATTGTAATATTTCATTTACTTTATCAATTTAACTGAGTTAAAATTTTAAAATAGGTGGCAACCCTCCTAAAAAATATTTCCAGTAGTTGTCTTTCTGAAACCTCTTTAATTTAATATCTATATTGTAATATATCATTTAGTTTATCAATTAAATAACGCCTCCTCAAAAATATTTGCAAGAGTTATCTTTCTTAACCCTCTTTAATTTGATACCAATATTGTAAGATTTCATTTATTTTATCAGTGTAATTTAGTTAAACTTTAAAACAGGTGGCAACCCTAATCGCACATATTTTCGGCTGTAAGCCTTCTCAATATAATTGGGTTTAAAAATTTTCAAATAGGTGGCGGTTCAGCCGTTCTCGAGTTTTGACGACCGTGACATACGAACACACCATTTTTATATATATAAATTCAAGGCCTTTAAGGTATAAGTTCGTTAATTTGGTATTTAAGCCTCTTACATTTTGGTAATAAATACTTAAGGCAGATTTAATAATTAGTTTTTTGATTCAGTGTTATGACGGGGAATATTAGCTAAGTTATTTCCCTTTTTGGGCCTATATTCGAATTCACGAACGAAAGCTCCGGGGGGCCAAAAAGAACTACTAAGCAGCGCATTAAAGTTATCTAAATTTACGTAAATTTTAAATGAAGCAATATTTCTTTCGTATTTAAAATTAAATTTTCTGATTCTTAAGTCGACAGTTGTAATTTTTTATGAGATATAAAGCTTTATATCGTCTTCGGTAGTGTCTCTCGACAATCTAGAGACAAAGATTGACTTCTTTGGTGGAACTACAACTAGTTTCCTTGTATCAGACTGGAGTACCGGCGGAAGGGGTTGAGTTACAGCGTTAGTATTTGAGGATAGGGAAGGCGGTGGAGGCTTTGAAGATGATGCCACCACTTCAATGGGGGAAGGGGAAGATACTTCAGGCTCGTTATTATCCGAAACAGATTTCGTTACACGTTACAATTCCTTCATTTTCTGCAGGAGCGTCATTAGGTAAACTGCATTTCCAAAGATTTTTTCAAACTAAATAGCGATGAGGGATATTTCACCCACCGGTGATTAAAAAAAAAACGCAATAACCACAACGCTCAACACTAATATTACCATTCACAATCACGTTTACTTTCAAAATTGCAATTCAGAATTTCGTTTTGTACCAAATCTGAAATGTAGGTATGTCCATTTACTTAACGCAATAAATGTAGGTATGTCCATTTACTTACTTAAATCAAAGTGCCAGAGACTTCAGCGTTTTGTACAAAAAGTGTTTTTGATGTTGAAATTGTACTTAAAATCGGTAAATTGTTCTTTTGTACTTTTTAAAACTAATTGTACTGAAAAAGTACAATTGTACTTAAAATATAAACACTGCTCTGTATGTATGTACTTACTTTCAATCTAGCTGTACGCAGAAGCCAACTCGTCACAACATACTTTTCGGACGGCCGTTCTCAGAAATTTTGCGGGTCCGTCACCACTGTTTTTGCAATGAATTCTTTCTGAAGAAGTGATCGAAAAAGACTCAGTAAGTGGTTTTTATTAAAGTAATCTTCCAAATGCTAGATGGGTCGTCACTGTTTTTGATTATTCGAAGACAGTGCATTGGACAATTCGGTCACGTCTTGGTTAATTTGGGAAAAGGGACAATACATAATCGCAAAAAAAGTTCCCAAATTAGCTGCTATAACTTCTACCGCTTAGACTTTGTTGCTTTTTCCATTTTTCCTCACAAAAGCCCAATAACATTGCTTAAAAATAAATATTATTACGCCACAATAATAATAACAAAAAGTAATATATTTAGAATAACTATTCAAGAATTTGTAATCCTAATTTTCATGAGTATTCAGAATCATGCAAAATTTTCTGGATTACAAGTCATCAAAATGTAATCGTAATCCTAAGTGCCCAGCTCTGTTTAGAAACCGCAATCCGATTTTTAAAATACCGATAACTCATTTAATTTCAGTTTTCATTTTGATTTCATAACGCCATTTCTAATACTATTTTTCAAAATGTTTAATGAGTATTTCTTAACGTTCTTACAGATAACAAGATTAATTTCGTCATATACGCAGAATTTAGTCAACCATTACAACATTCTTGAGAGAATCGTGAGTCTATTAGAAGACTTTGATATATCGAAGGAGGTAAGTATTTAATAAATAAATATTGTTAGTGTTATATTTATAAATTTAAGTAGGACTAATACTTCAGTCACATATCCACGAAGATCAGGCTTAACTTCCAGAAATTTTCCTCGAAAATCTCATGGAAGTTATGTCATAACTAACTTCCACAATAATTAGATCGCCGGAGAGGGGGAGCGCCATCCATTATCTATATACATAATACGCGAAGGCATTTTTTGTTCCGCATAAAAGATCTGCACCGTTCTTTCGATTTACAAAAATGCGCTTGGGCTGTAGATGTGCAAATTGGTTTTGCTGCCACCTTTTAAAAAAATTATATTAAAATTATTTAAAAAAGTAAATCAATTTTATAAACTGGGTTTCAATCGAAATGTTTTGAAAAGCTTTGCTTCTTAGCTCAACTAGAGAAGGGTTGCCACCTGTTTAAAAAATCATGTTAGGTAAGATAATTTATTATATAATATATAAATATATGCGAAGGGATTTTTTCTCCAGTATAAAAGATCTGCACCTTGATCTAGTTACTACCGGACTAGTTGGTTTTTCGCGATAAAGACCTAGTACTGAACTAGAAATTTGATCCTCTAGTCCGCGGTTTCCCTGCAGGATGGGAAGACTTTTCTATTACTTCTACTACTGACGACAATGCATATGTATATGTATATGTGCAATTATAGCGTAATTTCTTAGAAAAGCGAAAAAACATCTTCCATACAACATCCTAAACAGTTTTCAGGCTGTTGTGAGTGATCGCGAGTGGAGCACCCGCATTGTTTATCTCATTTATGTAGGTGCCCACCCAAAACTCTTACAAAATAAAATTTTATGAAAAACGTACGTATTTACGAAATATCTGGTATTCAGGGAAATCCCAACTAAACCACACAACTCCGCACTTAGCGAAATGCAGTTTGAAGAAAAATTCACTACCTGCTACAACTCTAAAATGGACGAAATCATGTGCTCCATTTCCGTAAATATCTCTAAAGCATACTAATAGTGGAAAATAAACAAAAGGTAGGTAGAAAGATGCTGCAATATTGTATCTACATACATACTTCAGGCTAAAAGGCTCACAAGTAAATTTTTTCGTCTTTCCAAGGTCGTAGTAAAACCAACGCTTAGCTATTATTTGATTATTGCTGCAAAATTTTTGCTCATTCTGCGCTCTTCAGTAAATAACTATGCACTTATATAAGTACATGCATATAGATCACACTATCCCACACATGCGCTTGTGTGCGAAGCAGCGAAGTTTTGCTCAACAGGCAGTGCTCGGACTTTGCCACATTTGTGGAATAGATAACACTTTTTTTTTTGCTAAATTACATTTCTGCTACTTCTACCACCGTAAACTAAAAAACTTTCAGATCTTGAAACTTTTTTTTTTAATTTGTTCATTTGCGCATTAATGAATGGGCATTTTCTACAACAAAAAACAACATTCCATGCTGCGACGTCGACACATGTATGATATGATCGCCTTCGTGCGTCTTACGATAATTGACGATTGACTGATGCTTTGCTAGCACTTCGGCAAAGCAAATCAAATCAGTTGCTGCTGAGACTTCGCTGCGCAACTATTCAAATAATACACACATAAAATGTTTCGGGAGGAATGGGAAATAATATTTTTTTGCATAGAAAACATGGATGGGTGTGCGCAATGCGTGATCTGCTATCGCGTTATGAGTCGCAATGTTATGTTTTGTTAAAAAAGAGATTACAAACTGTGTCATAGTCATTTTGAAAAGGTGAAAGAGGGTGATCGAACACTGAAGCTTTTAGAATTAATAGCAGCGTTCTTTATTAAATTTAT